CTGACTAGTAAAATAGATACCATTTCTAAAACTATAGCTAGTTTAAAGATATTCTATACTATTCTAATTTTACTTGTGATTTTCTCTATTCTCTTCCTTTAGAATGTGTAATGCCAACTGATTGTAAAGCATGGAAAGAACTGGGAATGAAACAAAATGGAGTATATCCTATAAAACCAGATTATGGACCAGCTTTCCAAGTAATGTTTAATTGTATTATACTTTATAATTATACACTATTGGATCACAGGTATACTGTGATATGGAGACTGATGGTGGTGGATGGACTGTATTTCAGAGGAGACAAGATGGATCTGTTAATTTCTTTAGATACTGGACTGACTACGAGAATGGATTTGGTAACCTTACTGGTGAGTTTTGGTTAGGATTGAGCAAGATTCATCGTCTTACTAAAGAAGGATCAAACACACTAAGAGTGGACCTGGGAGACTTTGACAATAATGCAAGATATGCTAACTACTCTACATTCAGTGTTAGTGATGGTCGTACTGAATATATACTAACAGTAGGAGGATACTCTGGTACTGCTGGGGATAGTATGGCCTATCATAATGGACTGAGATTCAGTACAAGAGATAATGATAATGATCCGGTAGGAAGTAACTGTGCTCAAGAAGGCTCTGGCGCATGGTGGTATAAAAGCTGCTATCGTTCAAATCTTAATGGTCGTTACTATAATTCAGCAACTAGTAATGCAAATAAAGCAATTAATTGGCTGGAGTGGAAAGTGGTTAGTCTTAAATTCACAGAGATGAAAACTTATCGTAACAACTAAATACTGTCCCCCACACACATAAGTGTGTTTACATTGTGCTGATAAATTATTATGCCATTTCAATATTACAGTCTGTCATACTTTGTTGAAATTTTTGGTAACTTTTATCAATTGTAATGAAGTTATTTGCTGTAAATTGTTATAAAGAGATATAACTTGCAACAAACACACACAATTAGAACAATAACAAAAAGTAACGATAAAAATAATTTTGTATAACTTTCAGGAAATGACGACAAAAATTAATAATAAACTTATTCCTACTACAACCCAAACATCATTAAGTAATTGATAATAAAAAATTGATATGACAGTTGAAACATTATGGTCCAATCTTAAAACAACAATACTCCTCCACAAATGGTATCACTATTATTAGTAAAAACACAATGAGATATTACTATTACAGTACATGAATATTGATAATATGAGTATCATACAATGTACAGTCACTACAGTCACAACAATTAAGAACAATAAATAATTAGTGTTAGAAATAAGTGATACATAGCATTTCATGACTCAATAATCATGCGAAGCTTCTCATTAATGAACTATTTATTTATTAATAATATAATAACTTGACATTTGATTACTATTACATTTGTTTGTATGTACATGTACATGTATGCC